AGTTCCTTCCGATAGACCGCATTCAAAGTTGGGCGGCTCGAATTATTGATGATTAGTACCTTACTGTCCGACTCGATTCACTGAAACTGCGTAGAGATGTTGCATCTCTGTGCATCTTCTCGTTCATGTCGTTAGTGTTGTGGGTGATCAGGGGCGGTGGTAGTCACTTACCATCAGGTGAGCCGTATGCTCATTTGTCTCGTGTTGTAAAAAACAACTGACAAGGAAGAAAGGTTTTTTTTTATGCAACTCAGAATGCCAAACAAGCTGACGGGCCACTTGATAGAAAGTGGTAACCGTCGGTTATAGACATCAAGAGTATCATAGATATAACAGAGTATACTGTTTCGCCCATGATACTCACCATACGTTGCCATTCCTAAGGTCTCAGGTGTTATTCTTCTGTACCCTGTAAATTCACTACAATATACCCTCCAAACCAAAATACAGTCAATCAAATACAACTGTTTCATGGTAGAGACACGAATGGGACAGAGGTACCCAATCATACGACTTTTATACAATCTCGCTCTGGTACATATACATGTATAAATGTAAAAGTTTTTAAAAATACTTGGACGTTTGTTATCAATCGCAGATTTGATGCATGTGTAGGATGTATTTTAACCCATAGCACACTGTATACATTGATACACGCAAGCAAAGCCGCCAGAAACGGCTAGTAAATTTTATAAATTAAAACAGTGTTTCAGAGTAATCACGAGTGCCACATGATACGTCGATGCAATCATTATTAAATCCCAAATATATTATTATCTATTAAACATTAAGCTTCGTGAACATTATATGTGGGTAAGCAATTAATACTAGAGTTATGTAATCTATCGAGGGTCCCACGTGACCCTTGGGATGACCCTTGCTTAACGAAGTGTATGGCGCGAGTTAATACCTCTTGTAGTGCGCAAAAGGTTAAGCCTTAACTTGGTAACTAAATATTAATGAAAGATTTGAGTAAATCGTTGGGTTCGGGATAATCTGAAATGTACAGTTTGCGTCAAATCTAGTACATCCGTAATGGGGACTAGTAGCCCCATTGCTTGCTGTATACCCTATCAGGTCGACTTCAGTGTGGTACTTCTTGGAAACCATTTTAGTTAATTTCTAATTAAATTGTACTTTATGCAACTGTATCTTTCTTAAATTAATTCATCATGAAGAGTTAACTAACTTGACTTGATTTTACTTCATTTTCTATGGTGCCTTAATGAGTGAAAATGGAATGGTAATCCCCGCCTGCGCAGGGCATAAAGGGGCAGCAGCGTCCCTCTTAAAACGTCACCAAAGCCTAACTACGGTTGTCAAACCACCTACCAAAAATGTCGCGACAACTGGCAAAACCCCTCTTATGGGGAAAGCCTATGTTTAGCAGTGTACGGTTAACGGCTGATACATACAAATATACAATGGAAGCCATAATATTATTTTAAAGATTTGGACTGTCTATGTATTTGTTCTGATATCACGCAAAAAAATTCTAAAACAAAATCAACGCGGTATTCAGTATTGCGTTTCTGAAAGTCTATTTAAAAAATTGGTGTATAGTTTATTTTAATATCATATAAAAATGGTCCAGGTCAGAGGCTTTCTTACTTCCGAAATCTGCGCGTAAGAAGAAGCTGCCTAAAACGTAGTGTATAAAGATTATTTACATTAACTGCATTACGATTTAAAAAAAATAGTGACAATTAATTAAAAATGAGTTCACACGAACGCAATTCAATTTTCTAACGATCAAGCGTAAGCGAACTCAACCCTCAAGAGACAACGGTTGGTATTTTGCAAAAAGCACCGAGCACGGGTACTTCGGGCCGGGCAAAGTTAGTAATCGATACGGCCTTAGGGCTTTGGGTATAAATTAGAAGTTCCATCGATCACCGGCGCCCTTTGCCCATCGGCTCGTACTTTATTGATAGTGAATGTTAACCGACAGTTCACTGAGTTACGTTAACTGGGAATAGTATTTTTTCTCTTTTTTTTTTTTCTTTATTCGACGTCAAAGACGATAATCAAGTGAAGATGGGAATTTTTGCCAGAAAATAGTTCTATTAATCCATCAACTAATTTACTGTCAAGCTCTGTAACATAAAATTTAGATTAAATTAAGTTTTTTTTTTTAATGGGTGAGAATGGAATGGTAACCCCGCCAGCGCTATCGGTATACGCTGGGGGAGCACCAGTGAAAGATGATAGATGAGGATAAAAACAGGTCAGTGATGAGCTACTTGACACCACAAGAATGAACGGCGCTGGTTTTATAGGGGAACTGCGTGGGAGTCGACTTGCAAATGCTAGTAATGAGGCTGACCCTATTACTAACAGTCCTTTTCCCCCCATAAATTTTGGGTAAATCAATGAAAGAAATGGAACGAGGCTAATTATTAACAAAGGTAATTTGTAATTTAGTGACAGATGAGCCGAATTGAGAATAAATATTATCAAACCATCATTTCATATCATCACATGATGATATTATTGATGATTATTATCTAAGTAATAAAATTTGATGTGATTAATGAAACCACAAAGTAAATTAGGGATATAGGTATCTGTCTGTATTTTTAGTTAATTTAAGAACGTTCATAAATTTTGCTTACCGAAATGTAGCATCCTTTCATTTTTTTTATATTACTGAGGTAGCAAACAAGAATACGGCCCACTAGGTGGTAAGCAGTTACCGTAGCCTATAAACGTTTGTATTACCAGGGGCATTACGTGCGCGTTGCCAACCCTGAAGAAACCTTTTTACCCCTTTTAAGACAAACCTCATGCTGTAGTCTCTTGGAAAAACCTTGACACTCAATAACCTGAGCGTTTGTGGGAGTAAATATCTCTAAAACCGCACTGTACGGGACCTAGTCTCTAAGATATGGAGGTGAACTCTCTGTCGATAGCGAGCTGTACGATAATAGAAAGTGGCAGTGAGCGTCATATTGAACAACTCCTCAAATAGCTATCAATTTTCAAAAACAATTTCACGTTTTTCAATGGTTTCTTTATTATTAATTATACTTTATTGTATACAAAATTCACATTGTTATAATTTATATAAAATAAAGATGTATAAAAAGCGAGCATAACTCTGTAAGAGTTCTCTTCCAGCAAACCTTGAGTGGAAAGGAGCATTAATTACCATGGTTCTAACTGCTTATTAAAAAAAATTAAACTTTCGCGTTGTTCAAACAAATTTAAAATATACCATATTTCCCTGCAATTTTTCGTCACGTTAAGCCCCAATAATGTTATTAGAATATATTTAAAAAGTGTTTTGTAAGCGAACTAAAATATTAACCATAGAATACGTTGCATAAAGTTTACCATTAAAATCTTTACACCTTCATCCTTTGCCAGTTGCTGTCACAATTTCCAGTGGCAGCTTTATAAAAATATTATTCCATAATTAATATTTATAATCGTAAGAAGAGCACTTTTGAAATAATCAATCGGAAACATTGGAAATTCCTGAATTGTTTGAGAAAATTGTCAAATTATTGCGATGTTACGAACACTCTTACATAAAAGGCCGATATTATGAACTATGTCTTTTGACCATTGCTGAACATAGACCTACAAGAGTGATTGTAATTATTTATTTATTTATTTATATGCTTTTGTACATTCACATTGTAATGTTGGCTTCTTCAGGGTTGGCAACGCACATGTAACACCCATAATGTTGCAGACGTCCATAGCCTACAGTCACCATCATCATGCGAGCTGGTATGCTTATTTGTATAAATAAATGATTATTAGATTTAATCTCATTTTCAACAAATTTCAAAAGGAGTAGATATGTATTAATTTTTTCTCTGTATAGACACGTTATACAATATCTTTCTTAATTCTTAACTAATTTTATTCATTCTCTATTTAAGAACGTAAATAAATATTGGAACAGAATATTTCTGTGCAGACAAAAGTATTGTGTTGCGGTCTCTGACCGGTTTTGTCGTTGGCCGCTTATTAAAACATTTGACTGTCAAAAGACGAACTATCGACGAGATAAATTAAGAATAGAAACAATCTTTATTTGAATAGATTTGTTTACAAGTTCGTTTTAAATTACCTTTTTAGCTGTCTTTCAGTCTTTCCTAAATTCCGTTGTCTTAAACTCCCTTTATAAAAAGCACTTTCTCAAACTTTGTTCTTATTGAATGCATTCTATGTGCAAAAAAAGGCAAAGAGATCGTCACTTTTTAGGATTCTGCTGCTGGATTTGTTGTATATTGTTATCAACTGATAAGAACGCGCAAGAAACAACAGTTACTCGTTTCAATTTATTTGAAATAATTTTACATTTACATATATGGCTACTATTGACTATAATTAGCTTTGAGTTCTATTTATATATATGTATGATTCAATATAAAATAAACAAGACGACCGAGACAAATAGAAAATATGGATGCAGAATTTAAGACTAGAAATTTTCTTTTCCTTTAATCACGACATCGAATCCTAGACCGTTCCCATAGGCGAGTCATTATCAGCAACTTCGACCCCAGTCCAATTTCAGTAGACTTTTTGACTATACTTTGAACTACAAGTTCTCAGAAAAGACGATGTCAATGAAACATAAAAGGAATCTTTTATAAAACACTTTCTAGAAATATCAACTTTTCTGAAGACAAAGATTTCAAGAAGAAATAAGACAGATATCTCACTGAAAATCATCTAAATGATTACTACTGTAGTACTACTACTGTTTGTATTGTAGTATATTGTAGCAAACTAGTAAATGTACTAAGCGAAATTCTGTCTTGAACTAAATAAAACAAGACGCAAACTCCACCCACCGACCCTCATAGTAGCACTTAACATTTCTAAAAGGATACATTATTGAGGAGAGCCCTAAAAACAACATTTTTACATCCATACCGTCCTGCCACGCATATTTTATTGCGGGTTGCTTGGGATGACCCTCGTTTCGGACCGTGGCTTAAGAAATTATAGACGGGAACAAAAAAATAATAAAAAATTACCATATTAACTGAGTATTAAAACTACATATTTGTCAGCTTTGGAGTAGTTGTAGCAGTTCATGGTGGTCTCTTAGTATTCCCCTGTAACAAAAAAGAAAAAACTTGGTTATATAAACTCGAAGAATAAATAATATTAATTTGAAACAGCCAGACTTTGTAGAAAAGTCGATTGCTTGGGTACCTCTGTCCCATTCGTGTTTCTACTGTGAAGCAGTTGTTTGCATGGCTGTATTTCGGTTTGAAGGGTAGAATATGGCGTGAATTTACAGGGTACAGAGGAATAACACCTGAGTCCTCAGGAATGGCAACGTATGGGGGGTATCATGGGCGAAACAGTATACTCTCTTATGTCCATGGTACTGCTCATGTCTATAGGCGACGGTTACCACTTTCCATCAGGTGGGCCGTCAGCTTGATTGCCATTCTAAGCTGTATAAAAAAAGCTGGTCCTGAAAAATTATTCTAGAAACTTTTCCTTATTTATGATACTGTTACGTATATTTTAAAATTTCCTTATATTAAAAAAGAAAAAGTAATACATCTGTCTTCAGTTTCAGAACAAAAATGTGACCAAACTGATGATAATATATGATATTATTAAAAACATATATTTTGCAAATATATGTTTTGATATACTTCCTTCGACATTGTACTTTACAAACTTAACTTACACTATAAACTTGAAACAAATGCTACGTAAATAAAAAAACGACAATATTTTTTATTTTTCTTGTAGTGTAGTGAATCTCGCAAGTATCCTTAGACAGTAATTCCATTGACCATCAGGCGGGCTATACATATTTGCATTAGTAACTTATTTCTAAGAATAAACAAATGTTTGCTTCGATAAAAAATTACTTCAATGTTAAATACTCCAAACAACGGGATATATCTTAGATACAATGTATGCATATTCCATGTTTACATATGGCATTCACTTCGCAAACAAAAACATCAGCTCCAATAGTCACAATATTTAAATGGGAGTAAATTTTATCTGTTGCTAAAATTAATTTGAAAATTAGTTCAAAATTAGCGATGTGATCACACAATATAGTTTAGTACTTATTAGGTCGACCTCCACACGCCTCACCTCTTCCTTGTAAAACATCGTGCTCAATTCCTAATGTACTCGCCACAACTAACTGACTCGACTTCATCTTCATAATTTCATCTTTCCCTGGTTCCCCACCATGTATACCATTAGTATGCGTGGGAGCACCATTCAATCTTTATTCATTAAAAAATATATGTAACATAGTCCAAAAAATATCTTACTCCTCTTTTAACTGACTTTAAAAAGGAGATTCTCAATTCGGTTGTGATTTTTTTATATTTGTTACTTTATAAGTCCGTCAGTTCTAAACTGATTTAGATGTTTTTTTTTATTTGATAAGATATACTTACATAATGGTCCAAAGAAATGTTATGAAAATCAGTTTCATATTTTAATTTTTAGAGCAAAACAACTGATTTTGATACAATTGCACTTAGTTCTTTTTTTTTTTGTGGAACACAAACTTTACTCGTAATTATTTAGGATTTGCTTAAAAAAAGTATGTACATTTTCTTTCAGTTCTTGTCTGTTTATTTGAAGATCTTTATAATACCTGGCCGGTCCCGCGAGGCACGGGTCTGATGGACAGACTGCCGCGCAAGGGTTAACCTAAATCAATATAAATATTTGACGAACACCGCTCCATACCTTTACTTGGTCTTCGTAAAATCTAGTTGTACAATCTTATGTAGACTTTTTACCATATTAGGGTTTCATTTTAGAAGCAATAAAATAAAAACATTAGGTAATAGTAGTGACAAATAAGGTTTTAAAGTTATTTATTTATAAATTTTATGACTTTACTAGCTTTTACCCGCGTCTTTGTCCGCGTGTCTAGGATATGTTCAGTGACCGGAATAAAAAGTAGCATTCCCGCACAATACAAACATATGTATTGATGAGGACGTATTTCTTTGTATCGGTCTGAGTTTTTTCTATGTATAATATGTATGTATATAAAAAATAAGAATATGCATCAGTAGTGTAGTAACAGTAGTACAATTTTTTACTTAATATGTGACTAGATGACCGTGTGGTCCCGGCATAGAATGGACCACCCGTTCCCTTCCCGTGTGTAAGAGGTAACAAAGAGAACTTAATGGTTGGGGGATGAGCAGCAGCGTCTCTCTTAAAACATCACCAAATCCTAACTACAGTTAACCTTAGCCTAAACTTAGGTTCTCTCAAATAACTTAGAGTCAAAAATGTACACGCAAAATGCAATATATATATATATATATTTTTACAACACAGGGGGCAAACGAGCATGCGGCTCACCTGATGGTAAGTGATAGGTATATATATATATCTAAAGATTTATATAAATTTACTTTGTATAAATTTACATTTACTTTGTATTGGTACTTAGAATAGTTTAGCATCAATAGACAACTACTAAGATACATATTCCTCAAACTATATGCGGTCCACTGACAAATGTGGGGGTAGTACGTGCGAATTACCCACAGTTTTATCCAGGGCTCGAACCCCATCCCGTCCCCTGGGCAACCGCCGTCCGAAAAGTTTGCCTTTGACCGTGCAATAGGATAAACGTAGAGTTGTTTATACGATTAAATTATTTTATTTCTTAATTAGAATAACAGTAGTGTATTAGATTAACGTATTTGATTTTTAATACAAATACGAATCGGTCCATCTGTTTGTTACTTTTATGTATGTATGTATATATATGTGTATGTATATATATATGCGTATGTTTGCTGTCGTCGTTCGTAATGTCACGTATGGGCACCACAGAATATCAGCGCTGTAGCAATTAAATTGCTGCAGCACATGCTGAGTGGTGACCACGTTGGCAATAATAAATGTAAAGTTTTTTTTTTTTAATTCATAATGTATGTAACTTTTTGTTGTTGTCAATAAATGTTTTCTTTCTTTCTTTCTTTCTTATTTCTTGAGAGTTTCATTTATTTATTGATATAAATTTTATTGTACACAGAAATAAAACTTAGAGAAATATGGCAATGGAAAACAAATGTTAATTTTTTTTTAATGGATGATAATGGAATGGTAACTCCGCCTATAATATATATAGTATAATATTATCCCTATTATATATATATATATATATATATATATATATATATATAATAGGGATAATAGGTGGGAATGAAAAGGCAGGTCAGTTAGCTCATCGTGATGAATACACCTGGAATTCAGCACGATGGTTTCCAGGGGGGACCACGAGGAAATCGACTTGATAGAGTGTATTACTAGCAATGGGACTGATAGTCCGTATTACTAACAATCCCTTATCCCCCTCAAATGTTAATATTGCAAAGATGAAAACACCATGGCGTAGTGGAATAAATATTTTATTCCGAGCGGTGGTTACAAGGCAGAACATTGTTATTGTTGTACCATGTACCAAAATCACGTTAGCACGAGCCAATATTTGCATTTTATTGCCAGATATGTAAACAGAAATTAATATTAGTACCTAACATTAGCTAGTGTGCTACATTTAATGGGAAATTCGATGATTGGAGTGTAAATACAGTGCCTGGTATATATGAATTTTCTTAAGAGAACAAAAATTACAGTAAAGATGACAGTAAATTTAAAACCAATATATATTTAAATTTCTACAAAACACGGTTATACAACATATGGGGTATTTAGCAGCTCTGTAAACGTAGTTAGGTTATGGCCACACCAACAGGGCAGTATCTCCTTTTCTTATCTACGTACAAACATCCATAGTCGAATGGCTCTCAAGAGATCTGCCCCGCCTCTTTACGGCCTGTCAATGACTACTAAATTTAGAACCGGCCCGCCATTGATATAAATGTTTTTTGTTTTCCCAAAACGATCCTTCAAATTGTAATTTACTAGTGTGCGATGTTTCGTCGAATGTTGCCTTTGTTTTTTTTTTGTATTATGGTTATTGGAGTTACGTTAAGGTGGGTTTCGACCAAACAAGTGAATGCTTCCCATATGCCACCAATTTTGTTTATTGAGAATGGAAATGTGCTCAGAGGATTATTGTTCAATTGCATGTCAGAAGAGTTTTATGTGGCGTTATTTTTTTGTCAAATTAGATGGTAGAAATATTAAAATGACCCTTCAAAAATGTTTATAATAAATTTATTGACTTCTTAGTTACAAAATCTTGATGTGGAACTAAATTTCGCAATTTATCAAAGCTAGTTTGGACAATAAATAGTTTTAGCAGTAACATTCTGTTTGTGTTATTTGCTGTCTGGAAAGTTGTGACTTGCTAAGAGTGACTATAAAGAAATGATTATTCCCCAGTTACATTATTGGTGTGACGTAATTACAAATATTATGTGTTTGAAAAGATATTTGGAAGAATTATTATTAATTATAATTAGTGTAAGTAGTTTTAATTACACAATTGGGACTTAACGGGATGAAAAAACCTTCGCAGGTAAATAATATGTAGTACCTATATACCTGCTTCTTTATTGCCGACGTTTCGACATGGATTGCACCACGACATGATCACGACAGTCTTGGTTTTATCATCGCGTTAAGTCTCAATTGTGTATTTGAAATAAAATATATGTAAACAACGCGAAACTTTAAAATGAACTAGTGTAAATAGTGTAGAAACATACACTTACTATAGGCATCGTAAGAGATTTTGTACGAAAGTCATCCTGCATTAAGGCCATGGAAGCATTAACTGCTCTATACACTCGTGTTTCTGCTGTCAAAAAGGTATACTTCACGGTGGTATTTTAATTGAAAAATCTGTATCTTACCTTTTCATGAAAGGATATGATAGTCAAACCACAGGATCCTAACTTAGTCCTCAAGAATAGCAAAGTATAAAAAGTATTATAGGCATCGCAGAGTACTCTATGGTACTAAAGATGTTGTTCTCTATGTTATTCTCTGAATCTCAGGTTCCGAAGAAATTCCATGGTGAACAATTAGATTTTAATAGGAAATATTAATTTGAAACAAAAATGCTTAATGTAACATTTGAAAGCGAAATTTTAATCTTTAAAAAATAGGATACTGAATAATATTACTT